CACATTGTATGATCTCCGTCTTCTCAAATTAAGTCTGGTCATGCGTCTTTTCAAATGTCTACAGCTTAATTATTTTAAAAAAATAATGCATAAAATATACTGTATCTTAAAATGGGAGATTTTAACTTCAATCACTAAATAACAGATATATACATACAAGTAGAACACGCACATAAACAATCTTTGAATGAGACTACAAATTTAATGTATAGTACCTTTATTACTCTTAGAGAAAATATTAGCCTATACAGGTACTTATATTATCATAACTTCTGACAATTAATAATACCTACCTTATTTTTACACCATAATTACTCCAAAGAAGGAATATGATTTCTTTATTATCGTATCCGTTGAAGAAATATTCTTGAATCTTTTCGTCAACAAACGCCATGTTGTGCAATGACTGCTGGGAATGTTATCCGGTTATAGAAAGTACTAGTCGATAGAGCGATAGTGCGATGACACGATGACGATAGTGCGATAAAGCAATAACGATGTCACGATATAGCATCGCGTCATCACTATCGCGCCATCGCATCATCGCTATCGCACCATCGCATCATCGCTATCGTGCCATCGCGTCATCGCGCTATCGCTTCATCGTACCATCGCATCATCGTCATCGCATTGTCGTGCCATCGCATCATCGCCATCGCGCTATCGCACCATCGCTTCATCATTATCGCAACATCGCTTCATCGTCATCACATTATCGCGTCATCGCACTATCGACTCAAACCTCGATGGTGCGATGATGCGATAGTGAACTGCATGGCCCTATCCGGATTCCATAGTTCACCGTTCGTTCACCGTTCACTTTGCGTTCGCGCTCCGTTCGCGTTCTGCGTTCGCTCACCGTTCACCAAGTTGCGTTCAGCATTCACACATCGTTCACTCACCGTTTGCTCTGCGTTCGTTCAGCGTTCGTTCAGCGTTCGCTCACCGTTCAAGTGGGAAAGTAGAACGTTTCAGGGACTGTAAATATACTTCATACAGATAGAATTTATTTTTTGCTTCAAATAAACAACAATTTTCATAAGAAAAAAATTAAAAAATTAGTAGATGCAAACAAATATTAATTCAAATATACCTTCTTGTCAACAATTTCTACTATGAAGAGACAATGACTGTGTAGGTACAAGTGTTAAGAAGCTTTAATACGTGTTTGGATGATAAAGGTATTTATAAAGGAGGTTCATTTGGATATTTTTTATTGACAGAGAAACTGTTCAAATAGCAGTGATAGCATACATAAAATATGCGATATGGCAATGATAAGGATCAGGATTCGTAATTTCATTTTTCTTCTAAATTGTCTGCTCTGAAGCACTTCTAAATCAAAAATCCAGAGAATGTTGTAATTGGAGTACTATCGGTATAGTACCCTGTCCCCGATTTGTACCCAGTCCAAACTCTGTCTCCGCGCTTTAGGGACAGGACTGCCATGTTTGTTCCAGACTGATACGGATATGAATAGTCAGAGGAACCGTATCCAGTATAAAGACTTCCGCTTCCTCCATTTGCTCTGGCTGTTACCTGGGAGTACCCATTGAGAATTATGTCTACCGAGATAGTGTTCGAACTATACGAAGTAATGGAGACGTAGAACACATACATGCCAGCAGAGGGCGCTGTGAAAACCCCGGATGCAGAATCGTAGCCATTTCCTTGGTTGTACAACACTTTGGTAAATATCAATTTACCTGAGGACCAGCTTCTTCCACTAGACGATACACCTGCCGTGAAGCCTATTCTTTTCGACAAGTCTGCAAATGAAAGTTATTAAAAAATATATTAAAAAGTGCTACATTTACATTGAAAAAGCTCTGCCCCGATTTTGGTCAGGATTATCAGAAAGAAATGTTTTGAAATCACTTTTTTGAAAAACGCATTTTTATTACATATTTATTTTTACTTTTATCTTAAAATTGCCGATTTAAATATCATGAAATGGAGCTTCAATAAATCCAGCAGTAAATGTTCTAAAGTCTGTTTGCAGAAGCTTGATTTTTATGTCTTAACTTTTAGTTCATATTTACCGCAGTTTCCCCTGGAGATGTTGTTTTTGAACCATTCCAAAGACAACACTGCTGCTGATATTTTCAGCTGACTCTGTTTGGTGTCTTCAAGCTCAGATCTCATGTTACTTAATGTGTTATTAGTTTCCTCTGCAAAAAAGCATCAATTAACTCATAATACAACTAAATACATTTAGCACCAAGATAAGGTTTATAGAATGCTAACCTGATAAATGTTCCGACAAGTTTTTGGCCATTGCTGAGACCACGTGATATTTCTCCTCGATCTGCTTTGGTATTGTTTTGTCTACATTGTCTAGGCGTTTGTTTAGGTCTTGTGAACGCTTGTCAACATTCAAAACACTCATGGAGAGAAGGCGAAGCTCTACCTTCAGGTCTGATAAGACATTGTTGGTTTTTCTTGTAGACGATTCCTGACTTGCGTTCATGTCTTTAACAAATTGTTTTTGATCATCCCAGACTTTGTTAATATCAGTTTCTAACCTAGCATCTGTCTGATTCAGCTCACTTAAAACTTTGTCCATTTTCTCAATAGTTTCCTTTAGTTTCTGGTTTTCACTTTTTAGCTCTTTGATTTCCGTTTGTCTTGACGTTTTTTCTTCCTCTAATAAAATTGATAGTTTGTTAACGATGTTTTGCAGCTTCACCGTACTGTCTTTTTGTGACACCATGTCTTGCATCAGACTGTGGACGTTTTTAACCATGGACATTCGGATCAGCGTCTCCTGGTTCAGGAGTTGTCTGAAGACGTCCTGTCCGAGCGGCTCTTTGCCCGAAAGATCCGTCACTGTTGTATTCATGGAACCAAAAGTTTTCCCCTGGCTCCAGAAGAAAATAGAAAGGGAAAGCAGCCTCAGAAAGACGACCATTTTTATAAATTATTAATTGAATATGCACAAAGCAGAGCTTAGAGACAGTTTATATAGAAAATTTGCAAAAGACCATTTGAACTTTGATTAAGCGTTTATAATTACCCGAAGTCGATGATTTATAAACTTGAGTGCGGAAAAATTATAATACATAATTTTCAAACAGTTTAAGTGGTATGAAAGTATATCGGCACGTAAGTGCTAACCTTCATCCCAGACCCAATTAAAGTACTTGGTCAAAAATTAGAAATTTTTGTAAGGAGAGAGAGAGAGAGAGAGAGAGAGAGAGAGAGAGAGAGAGGAGTCTCAATATATTATTTAGCTAAATGAAGGGACGCATTTAAAAATGAATTGACTGGAAATTATGTGTGATTAATGGTGAATAAATAGCCATTATTAATATTTTTTAAAATAAGATTGCAAAAGTTTAAATTGCATCTTTCGTGGTAAGATGGCATATTTTGGGTTTATAATGCACTTTGGCGACCTCAACTCTTCCTATAGTATTTTGCTATGGTGATTTTTTCTTTAGAAGCTGCCCCCTCCCCCCCTTACCCCGCACCACTTTTAATTGCTATAAGGCCGAGCACTGACAAATTCCAGGAAACATACAATCTGAAATGTTTCCCAGTTCTATGAACACGTATCTGTAAAACATAAAATCTGAAATGTTTTCCCATTTCTATGTACATGTATCTGTAAAACATAAAATCTGAAATGTTTTCCCATTTCTATGTACATGTATCTGTAAAACATAAAATCTGAGATATTTTCCCATTTCTGTGTATCTTTAAAACATAAAATCTGAAATGTTTTCCCATTTCTATGTACATGTATCTGTAAAACATAAAATCTGAAATGTTTTCCCATTTCTATGTACATGTATCTGTAAAACATAAAATCTGAAATGTTTTCCCATTTCTATGTACATGTATCTGTAAAACATAAAATCTGAAATGTTTTCCCATTTCTATGTACATGTATCTGTAAAACATAAAATCTGAAATGTTTTCCCATTTCTGTGTATCTTTAAAACATAAAATCTGAAATGTTTTCCCATTTCTATGTGCATGTATCTGTACAACATATAATCTGAAATGTTTTCCCATTTCTATGTATGTGTATCTGTAAAACATATAATCTGAAATGTTTCCCATTTCTATTTGTAACATGTTTACAGTCTGAGAAGCTTTCAATGTTCTCTTTAATAAACATGTATGAGATGTTTTTGACTCTTGTCAGCACATAGTACTTTTACTTCCAAATCATTCTTCCTGTCGACCGGTCACACCTGCAATGAACCCTTTGTATTGATCACACTAGTATAAAACTAATAAAGTCGTATTTCTTTTTTATGCCCCCGTTATCGAAGATTTGGGGATATATAGTTTGTGCCCTGTCCGGCCGCCTGTCTGCTTGTCAGTTTTTCTGTTTGTCTGCAAAAACTTTAACCTTGCCTATACTTTTGATTGAGTGAAGCTATGGTTTTCATATTTCAAATATGTATTTCTTGTGACATGGCTTTTCTTCAGATACCAACATATTTGACCTCTTGACCTTTGACCTTGGAGTTTGACCCACTTTTGCAAAAATCTACCAAACTTTATCCTTGGCCATAACTTTTAAACAGTTGGTGCAAGGGCTTTCGTGCTTCACATGTAAATCTATTGTGACAAGACCTTTCCATGAATATAAATATTTTTGACCTATTGACTTGAACTTTGAGTTTGAACCATTTTAAAAAATTTCAGCCTTAGACATAGCTTTTGAACAGTACTAGATCCTTCGTGTTTCACAGATGTATTCCCTGTGACAAGGGCTTCCTTTTGATACCAACAATTTTGATCTTTTGACCTTGGAGTTGACCTACTTTAAAAAAAATCTTTAGTCTTGGCCATGCCTTTTGAATAGTTAGCGCTAGGGTTTTCATATTTCACAGATATATTCATTGAGACAAATTTCTTTGGGTAACAACATTTTGTGATCTCTTGGCTTTGAAGTTGGATTTGCATTTGAAAAACTTTAACCTTCGCCAAAAAAGCCATACGGGGCATCTGTATTTCACAAACACATCTTGTTTCTGTTTTTAGATATTCAAATGTTTATTAGTACAATGTGAGAAAAAAAAAACAATAAACTGGTGAAACGTATTTGACATAAAAAGAAAATGCGATGTACAACTATAATAACTGCCGTATATTGACACCTCCGTCTACATCATAATTATTTCGTTGACTTTAGATCATGAAGCCTGAGAAAGTGCTGACTGGGACAGTTTCGGAGTAGTAGCCCGCACCAGAATGACATTCCACCCACACTTTCTTCCCACGATCTAGTGAAGTCACCACCATGTTCGTCCCCGTCTGGTACTGGTATTCAAAGTAGTCGTAGTCAGTAGTGTCTCTCCCTCCATTTGCTCTGGCTCTAACTTTGGAGGTACCATTGACCACAATATCAACAAGGACGCTAGAGTGTTCATACGACGTAAGGGAGACAAAGAACACATAAACACCAGAGGCTGGCGCTGTGAATACCCCGGATGAAGAATCGTAGCCGCCACCATAATTGTAGATCTCTTCAGTGAAGACCAGTTTATCAGAAGACCAGCCACTGTTGGAGGAACGAAGACCATCCGTAAACCCAACCTTTTTTGATACATTGGTTAACTTTGTTAACTCTGAAAACAGATGTTGTAGAAGCGAGCCTTTATGTCCTAAACAAAATCATTGACTAGTCATATACAAATCTGTTTAAAAAGCGGTTTGATGCTACAACTGCTATAAAATCTTTAATAATCAATGGTTATCACCAAAATATTGTATACAAATGCCTCTATTTATTTTGACTTTTGTCCTAAAATTTCTTTCAGAAATATGCAGTAAATAAATAAACTCAACTTTGGCACTCGTTTATTGCCACTGGCAAAAATGTTTCTGACATCCTTATGACGTTACTTTTCGGTTCTCATTTTCTGATCACCCGCAAATCTTTTTAAACTCAGACATGCTTCTTCTCAATAGTCATTACTGCCATTTTGCTACGTCTTGTTTTGAGCTGCACTATTATATATTTCTAAATTCATTCCTCTTTTCGTAAATGTATCAGCAGATTCAAAATTATTGTCCAAAAGAAACATAATAACGACGCCGATACATTCTTGCGGCGATAGATGAGACCCAACTTTTATAAAGTATTGCATGTATCTAAATGATAATTTAGGACAAAACACAAAATCTATTGGGGTATTAGTGTGTAAGGTTTTGTTGACATTTTCCAGTTCTTAAAGATTTTATCACAGTTGTGACGTAACTTCTGGATCAACCATAATATATATATATATATCAGTAATTCAACCATAATATATATATATATATATATATATATATCAGTAATTCAACCATAATATATATATATATATATATATCAGTAATTCAACCATAATATATATATATATATATATCAGTAATTCAACCATAATATATATATATATATCAGTAATTCAACCATAATATATATATATATCAGTAATTCAACCATAATATATATATATATATATATATATATATATATATCAGTAATTCAACCATAATATATATATATATATATATCAGTAATTCAACCATAATATATATATATATATATATATATATATATATATATATATATATATATATATATATATATATATATATATATATATATATATATATATATATATATATATATATATATATATATATCAGTAATTCAACCATAATATATACATATATCAGTAATTCAACCATAATATATATATATATATATATATATATATATATATATATATATATATATATATATATATATATATATATATATATATCAGTAATTCAACCATAATATATATATATATATCAGTAATTCAACCATAATATATATATATATATCAGTAATTCAACCATAATATATATATATATCAGTAATTCAACCATAATATATATATATATCAGTAATTCAACCATAATATATATATATATCAGTAATTGCAGATTTACCGATAGGAACTAAAAGTATTTCTATTCTGAAAGCATAGCTATTTCGACCGTAATTGTAATTTTAAAATAAATCCCGATAAGGATTGAAAAGAAATGTATGTACCTCTAACTCGCCAAATTCTGACAATTAGAATAAATTATCAATTAAAAGCTATATTATCTTCCTGAGCTTTAAATGTTTATATAATAACTCTACGGAACATTCGTCAAAGAAAGCAATTGTTACCACAATTCCCTTTGGACGCATTATTTCTAAACCATTCTAAAGAAAGAACTGCTGCGGACAGTTTGAGCTGCTTTTTCTGTGTTTTCTTTAGATCCGACTTTATTTCATTCAGCTCTTGGTCAGAAGACACTGAGAAAAAGTAATTATAGTGTTAATACCCAATTTCATAATAATAATGCACAATTGCTATTTGAAACAAAAATGTGATTTGTTGTTTGATTATTTCTTAGCATTCAAAAACGGTAATAAAATAGGGAAAAAAAAAATACTCGTCATTACCTGATAAGTTAGTAAACAGATTTCCTACTCTTTGTGTTACTATTTGATATTTCTCAAATAGCTGAGGCACACTTTTGTTGAAGTCATTTAAACGCTTCTTTACATCATCTGCACGCTGATCAAGATCCATAACACTCATGGACAGGAGCCGCGTTTCCACTTTTACGTCAGACATAGCATCAGAAGCGTTCCTCTTTAATTCCTCGACAGTGAGTTTTAACTCTTCTTTAAGACTTTGCTGGATATTGATGACATTTGTCAGCTCCAGGTCAAGTCTTCCATCTGTAAGGTTCTGATCTTTAACCTCTTCTTCTAGTTGTACAATCCTTCTGTTGGTTTCTTGGTTATCCGTATTAAGCGATGACAATCTTGTTTCTATCGTTTTATTCTGTTCTTCTAGAATTAGAGCCATTTTTTCCATGCTACTTTGAAGCTTCAACATCATCTCCTTCTGTGTAACCATGTCCTGCATCAGACTTTGAACATTCTTCACGAGAGACATTCGAATGAGAGTTTCTTGATTCAAAAGTTGCCTGAAGACATTTCGTGACAATGGAGGCTCTCCTGGGAATTCATCGGAAATGACCGTATTATCCTGAAATACATCACAATTTACAGGAACAGCCAGTACAATAAATAAGAAAGACGTAAACCAAACCATGATAAAACCTGAAAACAATCCCTGACTGATGTTCGATTTGAGTAACTGATGTTAGCTTTTATTAACGTTCTTTTAGTACTTTTTAGTTTTTTAAGAGAACTTGAATTTTATTTCAATTGTTTATGAAAGTTCCTCAGGAGTAAATTAGATTTATACTTCACAACATAAATAAGATAGATAAGTGGTAAGTGGTAACAAAGTTTACAATGAATATAACTCAATAACATTTAAAAAAAAATCGCACGTACTCTTAGTTCTACAATAAACAAAAAAAAAACAGTATAATTTTCATGAATGTGAATTTCATACTGCCTCAATATCTTTTACTAAGTTATTCTGTTTGTTTGAGTGTTTCATTACATGTTTACATGTAAAAATATTAGATTTAGATGGGGGGGTCTACGGATCTCTTAAAGAGGTCATTAATACTGATTCACTAAAGCTGAACTCTTCGTAACTCTATATTATATATGTTATACAGCAGGAACAAAAAAGGGCATAATTATGAAGGCAAAAATTAGAATAAATCAATATCGTTTTCATTGCATTAAACATTTTCAAATACAAGTTGACGTGTAATCCAACAAATTAATCTTGAACAAGAGATTCTTTGTAACTCTATGTTTAATCGTCATTAAATACATATCAATATATTGCAGAATGTTTATATAATAATGTACAAATTAAAAAACTTCTATAGGTGCGTAAATTTTAACATATGTTGCCAACAGTTCCATCAGTTACAGTCTTTGCTAGTAGCATTGGGGGTAATTTGAACGTTAGTAAGGTGCATAATGGTAGCTCACCCTGCTAACACGAAAACATATTGTATTATGCAAACGTTTCCATTATGTAAAATTTATATCTTTTACTTAATCAGAAAAAATGCTTCAACATGTCTGTAAATTTTTCTTTCTTTCCCCCCTTGCCTTTATGCACATTTAATTATTTACTTTCAAAGTCAAATAACATCTTAAATGAATATCATAACCTTATTGTATTTAAAGTAAATTAGTAGATTATCTGTGTTATATATACTGTATATTATTGTTTCTTTGTTATAAATTAAAAAAAGAAAGATTTATACGGTTAGGATAGGGATTACAGTTAGTTTAGTTTAAGGGTTAAGGAGGTGTTTATAAAGAGATAGGTTAAAAATTGCATGTTGTGCACTGTACAACAATATATTCGTAAAGTGGTGTAAATCAGATGTGTATACTTAAAAAAAATCCAAGGAACTTTTAGAAAACTTGAAATCACAAAATTTAACCAAAATCAATAACATCAAAACGTACGACTTTTCGCAAAATTATTTTATTTAAAAGCGTCCCGAAATACACAAACATACTCTGAAGTTGATATCAAAAGTGTCTAAGTGTCTGATTGACAATATCTAGGTAGATTTTGGAGCTCTAGTCTTCTAACAATCTGTACCATGGGTACCAATTACGTTACCAATTGCGCCCCGTCATAAGCAGATCTTTTTTTTGTGTTCATATGAAGCAGAGTCTGACGCATCTGTGACCTTCAACTCGACATTTCGATATATTAACGACGTATGATCAATTATCAATAGTTACTTTCATTCATATGTCGACTCGATTTATCCCAGTGAGCTTGAAAGAAAAGATACCACGGATTCAGACACATCTGTTTCATATTTAGATATTTTACTAGAAAAGAAGTCAATGGTAACCTAATAACAAAGCTTTATGATAAACGTGATGACTTTAACTTTTCAATTGTCAACTTCCCTTACTTATGTAGCAATATACCCTTATCACCTGCATATGGGGTTTGTGTCTCTCAGTTGATTCGATACGCAAGAGCATGCTCTACGTATGAACAATTTCTAAAACGAGGCAAGCTATTGTCAAACAAGTTGATGAAACAAGGATATCAACAGTCTCGTTTGAAGTCATCATTTTGCAAATTTTACGGTCGATACAATGACCTTGTCAGCACACACAACCTATCATTGAGTCAAATGCTGACGTTTTTCATTCTAATTGTTAGGCCATTATTTATACACTGAACTGTCAACGGATTTTTCCGGGGGGTTTTCCCGATCATGACAAGGAGCACACGGCGGGTGTGACCGGTTGGCAGGGGATGCTCACTCCTCCATGGCACCTGATAACACTTCTAAATATTGAGGTTCCTATTTGCTCTGCTCCAAATTTGTATCGTTTCATTGGACTTTCGAGATTGAATACTGTTCGTTATCTTCATATTTCATTTCTTATTTAGATACTTAGATATTTTATTAGAAAAAGATGTACCGTTAAATAGTTATCTAACAGCAAGAGGCCCATGTACCACAACGTGGTTTTTGAGAACACTTTTAAAGATTTTTCCCTATATATTTCAATGTAAAACTTGGATCCCTATGGTGGCCCCGCCCTACCCTCGGGGTCATGATTTGAATAATTTAGAATCTACACTACCCCAGGATGCATCCCTCTAAGTTTCAGCTTTGTTGGCCCAGTGGTTCTTGAGAAGAAGATTTTTAAAGATTTTTCCCTATATATTACAATGTAAAAATTAGATTCCCTATGGTTGCCCCGCCCTACCCCTGGGGGTCATGATTTGAACAATTTAGAATATACACTACCCCAGGATGCGTCCACATAAGTTTCAGCTTTTCTGGCCCAGTCGTTCTTGAGAAGAAGAGTTTTAAAGATTTTTCCTATACATTTCAATGTAGAACTTGGATTTCCTATAGATGCCTACCCCTGGGAGTCATGATTTGAACAATTTAGAATCTACACTACCCCAGAATGCTTCTATATAAGTTTCAGCTTTTCTGAGAAGAGTTTTTAATGATCTCACCCTATTTCTGTCTTTTTCTGATTATCTCCCCTTGTAAGGGGCTTGGCCCTTCATTTTAACAATTTACAATCCCCTTCACCCAAGGCTGCTTTGTACCAACTTTGGTTGAAATTGGCCCAGTGATTCTTGAGAAGAAGTTGATAATGTGAAAAGTTTACAGACGGACGGACAGGCGGACGGGCAGACGGATGGAAAACCGACAACGGGTGATCAGAAAAGCTCACTTGAGCTTTCAGCTCAGGTGAGCTAGCAAAACTGTATGATAAAAGAAATAATTTCAAATTTTCTATCATCAAGTTCCCTAACCCTTATGACCTGCATATATGGGGTTTATGCCTCCAAGTTGATTCAGCTGTCTTTTTTAAATTCATTACAATCATTTCGCTGGTTTATTGTCGATAAAATGACCTTGAATTGTCAGCAAGTACAATCTATCATTAATTCGAATGCTGACTGGGGCTTTTCATACTAATTGAGAGACCATTATTTACACAATGGCTTCCATTTGTCCGATCATGACCAGGAGCACAAGCGGGTGTAGCTGGTCGACAGGGCATGTTCACTCCTCCATGACACCGGATCCAATCTCTGATGTTTTAGAGGTCCGTTTTTGCTCTGCTTTCGATTTGTTTTGTTTCCATTGACTTTAGAGCTTGAATACTGATCGTTACCAGCATATTACATTACTTAGAATTTGGAGAACAAGAAAAGGGAGATGTCTAAGAACAGCTTAATTAACTATATACATAATATTCTTTGAATTAAAAACTGGAGCTTAGCGACATGTTTTGTAATAGTCTTTAGGAAAAAAACTAAGTCCAGAGAACGATAGAAAATCAGCAAGGAATCAAGCACTAAGGATCTTTTTTAAGATAAAGAAATACTAAACCCAAAAACAATAATTATAAACTCGCTACTTACTAGCTAGTTGTTTTATAGTGGAAAGAATTAATGAGATAGTCACTAACGGCCCATTTTATAAGATAGGTAAACAGAAAACGAGGAATTAATTTTTTTTTTATGAACCATTGTTCAAAAGTACCAGCTCATCGTGATATTAAAGAATTTTGCCCAGCAAATCGGATATGAATACAATTACAAACATTTCTTTCCTTGTTTGAAAAATACACTATTTAAGAATGGATAACTTTATTGAATTACTAACTATAGAATTAAGAACGAGTTAATTGAAAAGAATAGGAATAAAAAAAGAGTAAAAAATGTAAAATAAACAAAAAGTTTGCGAATTTATTTTCATTATAATAACTTCACATATTACTTATAAAATACTTAAATGTTATCCTGTTACTTCAGCATACTAGAGGTTCACGGCGAGATACTTTTGACTTATCCGAGCGTAACCTCTAGCATCCATTGTAAAAATTCTCGCTGTTGAAACCCAAAGTGGAAATAAGCTATTTAATTAAACAACAGCTCAACCCCCATAAGGCCACAGGACCTGATGAAGTCTCGTCACGACTGCTGAAAGAAACTTCCCACCAAATAGCACCGGCCTTGACACTATTGTACCAAGCTACATTAGACCAGGGCAAGGTGCCAGATGAATGGAAGTCGGCTAACATCACGCCACTTTTTAAGAAGGGAGATCGGAGTGCAGCGGTCAACTACCGCCCCGTGTCCCTGACATCTATTTGTAGCAAGGTCATGGAACATATAGTCCATAGCCACATCATGAGTCACTTAGACAGCCATGGACTCTTGACTGAAAGCCAGCATGGTTTCAGGAAACATCGATCTACTGAAACACAACTTATCTTGTCAGTCAATGACCTAGCACAAAGCCTAGACATCGGAGAGCAAATGGATTGTATACTCCTAGACTTTTCCAAGGCCTTTGACAAGGTCCCGCACAACCGACTACTGATGAAACTACACCACTATGGTATTAGAGGTCAAACCCACGATTGGATCACGAGCTTCCTTACTGGGCGCAACCAGCGTGTTGTACTCGATGGCCAATCATCATCAGCCACCATGGTCTCATCAGGAGTCCCCCAGGGAACTGTCTTAGGCCCACTGCTCTTCTTGATCTTCATCAATGACCTGCCATCATCAGTGTCATCCACCACTCGACTCTTTGCTGATGACTGTTTGATGTACAGGAGGATTAAGACATTTGAGGACCAAGCCATCTTACAGAGTGACCTTAACAAGCTTCAGGAGTGGGAGGACAAATGGCTTATGCAAATTAACCCGGATAAGTGTGAAGTCCTACGGGTTACCAACCGGAAGTCCCCACTACATGCCGATTACACCATCCACGGCCAGGTCCTGAACACCGTCGACTCCGCCAAGTACCTTGGTCTTACGATCCAGAAGAGCCTCAGCTGGGATACGCACATAGACAAGATCACTAAGAAGGCCAACTCCACCCTAGCCTTCTTGGGCAGAAACATCAGCCGGTGTCCAACCAACATCAAGGCACAGTGCTACTCCACACTGGTACGACCTACCATCGAATATGCCTCCAGCGTGTGGAGCCCAGCCAAGAAAGAAAACATCAAAAAGATTGAGGCAGTACAGCGTAGGGCAGCTAGATTCGCCATTGGAGATTACCAACGCACAAGCAGTGTAACATCCATGCTACAGCAGCTCCAATGGCAGTCACTCCAGATCCGTCGGGAAAGGGCCCAAGTCATTATGCTATACAGGATAGTTTACCATCTTGTGGACATCCCGGCGGAGACCTACCTACATCCATCATCACTGAGAACCAGAGGCCATGCCCTGCGATTCCTGGTACCACACACCAGAACAGAAGTGTATAAGACCTCCTTCTTCCCTCAAGCCATCCGGTTGTGGAATTCACTACCAGGAGGAGCAGTCGAGGCCAAGACCCTGGACAGCTTTAAGACCCAGCTGTCCAGTGCCAGCCACTAGAATCACACCTGCGTTTTTATCTTTTAATTTTAAAGTTTTATTGAGCACTGTACATAGACACGCACCCCCTCACGCAGAGTGCGATAATACTTTAGTGGTTTTGCACTGAACTGGAAGAAGAAGAATTAAAAATTCAGACTTTCGGCATAGACGAATGATACGCAGCAATAAACTTTTCAACATTTACAATAAAACGTACACATAAAACAAAGTTAATCTCTCGTGTTAGCGATAAATCCATTATTTTTTTTTTTAAAATCGAAGCAGAATATGAAATAGGTTGAATATTTAAAATTCGAGAATGGAATGCAAAAAATTTGACGAAACGAAAATAATTTTCCTCTATGAAATAAGTGAAAATTTTTGTTTTCTGAATAACAATGTGCAAAATTAACGTAAAGTCAAATCGAAAGTACTTCGGTGAAAAATTTAAATAATGACGATTTTAATTAATGAACACTATTGCATACTAATTAAAGTAGATTTTAGGCTTTCTTGTGGCTTTTATACTCCCTGCAAATACGTAGGTACCTGAGAGCTGTTACACAGTGCAATTTAATAAAAGAAACACTTTCAGTGCCAGGAGTTTTAGTACAAGCGGACCAAAATTGTAGAACGAACTGCCTTTGCATATTAAACAATCAAAATCTATTGATGATTTCAAAAACAACTTAAAAAATCACTTCTTTAGAGACTTTGATGCTTTATTAAGGTCTTCCGTCTTCACGGAAGACCTTATAGTGATTCTACTGTTTCTTCTTCTTCTTATTTTCCGCCCATCTAATTTTGTGCTCGCGATTTCTCAAAGACTACTCGATGAAATTTAATGAAATTTTCAGGAACAATGTGTTTTTATCTGAAGTTATTTTATCCGAGAGATTTTTTGGAAAATAACTTCCGGTGCCAGGTTACCGACCATTTTCTGAATTTTAAAAGACATTTTGTCCGCAACTAATCTCAACAACGGTAAAAGATGTCAATGTGAAACTTTCAGGGATTATAGATCGTGATAAATCCTAGCCGGGACATGACCTTTCGTTCGTCGTCGGTACTTCCGGTCGCTACCGGATGCAAATTTAAAAAGTTGAATTTTCTAACTTTTTTGTTTTTCAATATTTTTCTTTGATATTAGTAGAGTTAATAGAAGCATTTCCAAAAAGGCTTAATATATAATTTGTTTAAAAATTGATGAATCCAAACTCTAGATATTCGCATTTTAAAATTTGAAGCGGGTCCAAAATGGCGGCTGTCTCCGTAAACTCCGACGAGCAGGTCGGTACTCGGAGCTCCTTGGGTGGCTGGTACCTGGCACACTAACCTCCAACGTCAACAGTGTTCTATTATTTCGGGTATAATCCCGATTATGTCTGAATTTCTTTCTCATTTTTTACCCTTTAATTATGTTTTCATCTTTATAAATGATTTTTTTTCTGTGTAAATCCTTAAAAATCTTTGCATATTTGAAGGACCCATGTTATATTTTACGGACATTGGCAAGTCAAAGTTTTCCTGAGAAAAAAAAAAGGTTAAATACATGGGATTTTTCACTTATGAAATAGTGATTGAGAGTGATCTCCCGTGTAGAATTCTCTAAGCGGTGAAAACCAATAAAGCATATGTTTACAGAGGTAAACATAAAGCACGCGTACTTCCTTCAACGGGTGGAATAATCTATACAGCAAGAGAGAAAAGTAGTAATGGCTTTGTTGTACATTGTATTCAGGAGACAAGAGCCAACAGGTCGTCATTTACCATAGTTATGCTCAGTATGCTGGGAAAGGCAAAGATGTGACATATGCTGAAAGGTAGACCGACTGAGATCAGTTTCTAGGTTGTATAAAGGAAGCAGCATTTATAACTACGAATAAAAATTGAAATAAATCTATGCCAATATTTTTTATGACAATGTGTTTCAATCAATTCAGTCAATTACATGAAATAATCAATCAACCAGTCTGACTCTCTTGACCCTTAAGAATAATATGTAATTATAGCTGTTAAGGGAAGTAACTCAAAAATAGAGATCGGTGCCTGTATGTCCTTTTCTTGTTTCTGTATTTACATTTTCAGCTAAATTATCTAGAAGTCATAGGAAATGAAAATACAATAATGTATATAAAACAAAAACCATATGAAATAAGTGAGTTTTGATTTTACATAGGAAATGCATTGAGAATTGCAAAAGCACTGATTTGGCAAAATTTAAAAAAAAGAAAGTCGGCTTGGTAGGTTAAACAATCCAGAATATAGCCTGTTTATTACAATTAAAACTACTCAAGAGTTCTTGAAAAATTCTATACGAGAAGTTGTCTGAGCAAGAACTCGAAAACGGTAAGAGATTAAGACACCTAACTTATATGAGCAACAGTCCTTAAGATATAGACATACCATTTGGGCCCAGAGCGTCAGCCGTCACTTCCAGTCTTTGATCAAAGAAATAAAAAAATTCAACTTTTCTTTATTTGATTAAAAATTGCATCATTTTATTGCATCTTTTTCGCAGATTCGAAAGATGTTGGTCCCACCGGAAACAAATATGACAACTTCCGGTTATAAGAGAAAAACTAAATAATTTGAGTATTTTACTTTCCCATAAATATTCTTTATAGATAGAGTATTTGAAATAAATTTTAAATATGTTATTCAGACTGCAAATGTCTTGAGTAACCTTGAAAACGTCGACTTCCGGTTTAAGGAGATAACACGTTGGATTTTCACGCTGACGACCAGGGATAAATTTCCAGCGTGTCTGAATTTCTTTTATCACTTTTTCAGCTTGAATTTTCGTTTTTATTTTCAGAATCGGACGGAAGACCTCTCATTGCTCGCAATGAGTTTCTAGTTTAAATTATAACTCTTCCTGTATGCATTGTATTTGTATGTATCATATGTAAATATTTTTACACTTTTAAGGTACAACGCCATTGAATACGTTTATGAAAAAAAGGAGTTTAATCAAATAAATCAGTTTCAGAGTTACTTATTTACTTTTTGTTCACGTATTATATGTTCCGACCGAATCTCAGTCGGAACGAGCTCGTTTGAAAATGGCCTTCTGGTATAAGAGTTCGAGGTATATAAGGAGCGTAGGGACGTTAACCGAGGCTCTTACTTGTAGGAGTAGTTGTCCTGTTTACATAAGCATAGTTTCATAAACATGTTATTCCGGATTTCAGTAAATTGGAACAGTTTTTTCTTAATACATCAGTCTGTGTATTCTACGATTGAAATTTTGTCCTCTGTTCCACTACTTACAAACAATAAGTTATTCTTTGTAATGCTAAGACTAAATGGCTGATAGAGACCACAGCCTGTGATACAGCGTAAGAACTTTCCATCACAGTCAATTATATGGATAGAGTCGTTGTCACGATCAGCTACCAGGATTTGGGACATGGTGTCTGTGACTATTCCATATGGGGTGAAGCATTCGAACATCTCGTTGAACCAGTATCGAAATCTGAGATTTCCAGATTTGTTGACAACAATGACTGCATCACCTCCGGGATCGGAAACACAGATATCAGAATTTTTGTTTTCAGCTACAAAGAGAACAGAAGCCATCGTACTAAAAAGTAGTTTGTTTTTAGTGACGTATTGTATTTCTTGTGTGCAATTGGACCCAGAAAAGCGGACAACTTTTCCTAGGTGATCAGTATCCCTTCTCATACAGACCAACAGATCGCCTGCAGAGGTGACGCACATACCAAACGGACTCCATTTAGCGAGTTTGATTAATGTGTCGATCTGTCCATTTCTATAAACATTTATCGTTTTCATGTAGTTGTTACTATGCACCAGATCCCTGTATAATAGGATGCATATGTCTAGTGCAATTCCGTCAGATAATTCGACTTCCTCTAGAATTTCGTTTTTCTTGTTCATTCGCCTCAAGGTTGATCTTCGAGCGACCCACAATTCTTCATTGTTTATACAAGCCACAAGTGATGCGCGTCCTAGGCCACTTTTGATAGTTCCTACGACGACATCTGATGGCTTGGCTCCTCTTTGAAAATCTTTACTTTTCCTTATTGAAATTTTCTTATGGCTTTTAACTTTGCAGATCTTTAAATCTCCAAACATATTAGCAATTGTTTCTCCATCTATACTTTTTTGGATGAACTCAGGAAGATTTGCATCATTGATGTTGAGTGAATCAAATTTTTCAAGATTCAATTCAAAGCGGAGGAATTCAGCTGCAAAATTTTCCCGCAAACTTTTTCGGAGCTTATCGTCTAGCGATTTTGCTTCTCCCAAAAGATTGGATATTTCTTCTATGTTCTTTTCTAAAACGGTGATTTGGTTCTGCATAATATTATTGAGTTCAGCCAGCTTATTTTCTACTATTCTGTCGACAATCATGTGGATTTTCGCTCCCTGGTTTTTGACAGCTAAGATCAGTGGTTCGCAATGCTGTTTAAACTGGTCTTTCTTTTTCAACATTTCATCAAATAAATTCTGAAGCGTTTGAATGATCGACATTTCTAGTTCTGTAGTGTCTCTTTGAATAGTTTGACGCTTTTTTATGCTTTCTTTTAATAGATCTGTGCATTGGTGGTCCTCGTGTGATTCTATTATACACATTGCACAAACAGCAATTTTACAATCCGCACACAAAGAGGTACAGGCATTTCCATGATCTTTGCAGTTTGGCAGGACAGGCTCTGCGTATCTCTCTGAATATGCCACAATACTGTGTCCTTCGGAGATATTTTCCGCCACGTGTTTTCCACCACAGTCTGCACAAAGCTTCAGATCGCAGCTCTTGCAATACATTTTAACTTCAAGTGAGCAGCTGTCACATATCACAGCATCCAACGGCATTTTTGGTTAATCTGCAATATTACCGAAATATTCGTGATATTCATAATATTGTTTGCAATCCATACATTTTTTTCTTTTAAGAAATAAAAAAAAGTTGGTTGTTTTAATTTCCACTCTATTAGTTGTCTGTAAACTAATTAATTTCATGTCAACATTGTAACCATGGAATTATTTGGGAAGGGGTCAAATTCTTAGAATATTGCAAACATAGAGAAACAAAAGCATTGAGATAAGATGTTTAAATATTCGTTAAACTGCAATGAATTATAACAAGACAAAAGTGCTTCCTATGCCCTGATTTTTCATGAGACAACGAATTCTATCATTGTAAGTGATTCACAGGGATGTATCATAATTTCGGACACACCATTCCTACACCATCTGTATATATATATCTCAAGCTCAAGCGCAAGCTCTGTGTACAATAAAATCTTAACCAAGGCATGCTACTTACAAATGAATTGATGTTACAAGGATTTTTTTTTTTAAAAAAAAAACCTTTTCGCAAATTCTACAGTTGTTTGTTTCTTTGCTTGTTGTTTAACGTTCTTCTCGAGAATTTTTCACTCATAAAGAGACGACGACACCACTTGCCGGTGGAGAGCTGCAAATTTTGACCTATACTCGGCACTTAGGGCCATTGAGCAGTGAGAGATCTTTTTCGTGCCAAAACCTCCTGCGACACGGGATCTCGGTTTATACGGTCTCATCCGAAGGACCGGTCTCCACGTCCCACAGTGGGATTCGAACCCGCGACGTAAGGATCAACTCCTTTCTCCACGACTCTAGAGCAAACGCTCTAACCACTGCGCCACGCGGGCGACTGTACGGTCACTTTGAAGACCTTGTTAGTAAACAGAACTTATCGTTTATTCGTTTTTTGTCTGACATTTATATGTTTTAGGTACATTTGTATTAGAGAGTACTTTGTATCATGTATTTTCTTATCATGTTATGAATTACATTGTAATTCAATGAAATTAATTGCACTTTAATCATGTAATAACTCGGTTAAAAATTTGGTCATACACAGAGCTTGCTCTTGTGCATCGAATCAGCTTGGAGTTATAAGAGGGTTCTTGGTGGGTGTGACCGGTCAATAGGGGATATTTACTCCTCCTAAGCACCTGATCCAACATCTGGTGTTTTCAGGGGTTCGTGTTTTCACTCTGTTCACGTTAAGCTTTGTTTACTTGATTGATGAGATAGATCACTTTTGATATTCTTCAACTTTTATACTTTGTTGACGAATTGATCAACTACTAAGTGGTTACATGATGATGAAAGGGATTATGTTTTTATTATATTTGACCCGAAAAGTCAAAAAACTTCGAGACTTCAAACAAAGTATGGGTTTCAAAGATCAATTACTAACGTATGACATGAATCACAATGTGGGAACTAAAAACCGTGTGTCAAGTAAGAAAAATGCAATTAATTTCCTTGAATACAATGTAAGTTATAACATGATAAAATCTCCCTCTCTTTTTTTTCTCTCTCTAAGAAAAAAAATCCACATTTGTTGAAAGAGATTTTAGTTCCTTAGCTTACGAGTGACGTTTACAAGCTGTGCTCTGATTTCCATCAATAATTTTTATTCTCCAAAGAATTACTTATGAGAAATATTTGTGCTTAACAGAGAAAAAAGAAAACAGTAAACTACCATTTACATAGGACATTTGATGTAACAAGATGACATAGTATTAAAAGCCCATGGGCTATAATGTAGATGGAACTGTAGATATTAAATGATATCAAAATCCTTAAGGAAGTTGCAGTCAACGAATAAGACAGGCTTTTTAATATCATTGACAGCTGCTTTTTCAATAAAAATGGAACTTGTAAATTTACTTACCTTGTCATTGGTCATTTGCAAAATTATTTTGTTATAAAACATTCTGATTGTACACAAAAGTCCTCTGACGTTAATATTAAAAAGATGCTTGAGTTTATGATTGAAATATCTATGTGGTTTTTGAGCTTCAACTCGACATTAAAATATATCGACGATGTATTGTCAAATAACAATGGTTATTTCCATTCTTATGTCGATACGATATATCCCGGTGAGCTTGAAATAAAAGATACCACAGAGTCTGACATATCTGTTTCATATTTGGATATTTTACTAGAAAAAGACGTTAATGGTAATCTAACAACCAAGTTTTATCATAAACGTGATGACTTTAACTCATCAACTTCCCTTACTTATGCAGCAATATACCTTATCATCTGCATACGGGGTTTATATCTCTCAGTTGATTCGATACGCAAGAGCATGCTCTACGTATGAACATTTTCTAAAAGGATTTAAGTTATTGACAAACAAGTTGATGGAATTTTAAAATATGTGGTGGTTCCATAAGTTTCTGTTCTGAAGAAACTAGTAAAAATATAAATATCTATGTAACGGAAAATAAAATGCTATTGAGTTCATCATTCTTCGATGTAGGTTACAAAATAAGAATATCTTCTCTCTCATAAACTACCTGGGAATAAAATCAACGTTTTTGAAAGAATTGATAGTACAAGAGAATAGTAGAATTATAAACGACTTTGTGGGAGAGTAATAATACATCACTCTATAAATCTGCTTTACGAATTATACACGCCATGTACTCATTTCAATCATTACCGATTTTCTCCATACTCATATATAAAAAATTGTAAAAAAAAAAAATAATAATAATAGAAAAATAGGAAAATGAGAAGAATTCACATTTAAACAGGATACAATGATTATAAATGATAAAAAAACCCTCAAAAACTTTCCTGCAAAAACCTGATAGGGTATATCTTTAATCTAAAGGGAATTTTAGATTTGATATGATATATATTTTACAACTCAATCTCCTATATCAGATTTCCTAAAGGAAGTTACAGTCCACGAATAAAAATACACTATAGTACAAATAAGAAAGTCTTGATATAAAAAATATAAATCTTAACTTCCTCATTTTACACATGGTGTTTTATGTTTTCCAACATTCAATACTTAATAGCATGCTCCGAGTAAGATAAATTTTTAAACCGATAAAAAGTCGGTGTTGCGGGGATTTTAACAACCTCGTTTATAGTCAGCATTTCGAAAATTCTATTGTCATTATAATGACCTTGTTAGCAAATATAATGTATCACTAGGTCGTATTTTGACAGACATATTTCATACCAATTATTAGGCATTTGTTTCTATAAAAAAAATTAGTACGGATTATTCCGCTCAAGGCAAATATAATGTATCACTAGGTCGTATTTTGACAGACATATTTCATACCAATTATTAGGCATTTGTTTCTATAAAAAAAATTAGTACGGATTATTCCGCTCAAGGCAAATATAATGTATCACTAGGTCGTATTTTGACAGACATTTTTCATACCAATTATTAGGCATTTGTTTTTATAAAGAAAATTTAGTACGGATTATTCCGCTCAAGGCGGGTGTGATTGGTCGAAGGGAAGTCTTACTTTTCCTTGGCTCCTGATCCCAGATTTGAAATTTCCAGGAATTCATGTTTTATACTCTGTTCACAGATTTTTGTTGTTTGTAGATTTTTAAAGATAGATCTTTGTTCGTTATCTTCACCTTTTCACAAGTAAAAAGAGATGAATTTACATTTTGTAATTAAAATTTGAGAGGTTAAAATATTAAATCCGTAAATAATATGATAAATCACCAATCGTACATATTTTATCAAAGAAGCAGAAGATCTTATTTTGTTAACAGTTACACATCTTGTCATCATTTATAAGCTGAACACAAGAATTATACAAGCAGAGATTTTACCAAAAAAATATATATTTAAAAAAATATTTAAAAATTAGAAGAAAGTACAATCTACTTATCAAAGTAAGACATTTAAGGAAATGTAAAATAAAGGATAATGAAACATTACAGATTTACTCATGATCAAATAAGCCCAGATTTTACTTGAAAGCAGAAATTCCTATTTCTATTGTTTGATTTTTTTCTTCATTACGGTTCGATTTCTCCATTTGGCTTTAAACAATTGTATGCAAAAGTAAGCCGATTTAAATTGTGTAACTATATTTTCTCAAAAAATACTGTTTGATTGTGATCAGTATTGTTTAGATTAAATTTATGCTGCAATACTCAATTTAAAAATTTTTTATTTAAAATTATACTGAAATAATCAATTTAAATATCAATTTGAATTATACACTTCTTATTGATAAACAGTATAAATAATAATGATAAAAAATAAAAAAAAAAATTAAGAAAGAGTTATGGCAATTAATAAAAACCAGCTGTTCATATGAAGTTTAAATATAAAAGAAATAGTAGATTCAAAGCCATTGAAATTAAAATTTTTTAAATACCTTTGATATAGTTTCAAAGACCAGAGGCGACCGAAAAGTTTAATGCATTTTGTAACGTAGAATGACTGTCTCCATTTTTATGCAAAATTTGAAGATCACGTGATGACGTTTTCTGCGTAATACACAAATAGGTTAACTGAGTAAGTTTACTTGTATCTGTTGGTGTATAATAATTCAAATTGAAAATAAACATCTCAACAATTTGTTTTCTTTTTCAAGTAAGTTACAGTGCTAGTGTACATCATAAAGTAGAAAAAAAGTACCGAATTTACGGTAACTTTTCCGTTAGCATTCAGTTTCTGAATGGGAGATACATTTTAATGACCTTTCAGTTATTCATAACGCCACAAGCATCAAACAGATTAAGGATTAATTTTTCCATGGTGCAAAATAATGGTTACGGCTGACCTGCTAAATTTGCATCGGAATTTGTTCGCTGGAATTAATAATAAAATTGATGTTAAGGAAGTAAAAATTAAACAGCGTATGAAGCAAAATGAAATGAATGATAATTGAAATGCCACTTAAATGTTACTAGGGTACTAGTACTTCCATTCAGTCGATTGATTGATTGATTGTATGTTGTTTTAGTCTCATTCGAGAATTTTTCACTCATACATGTATAGAGACGTCATCATATACCGATGAAGGGCTTCAAAT